GGGTACTACCTCTAGGATCCACTACCTTACTAAGAAATCAAGAAATATGAAGGTAGCCTAACATGTGGAGCAATGAGTTCACATAATCATAACACAAACTACGGACCAAATGAGATGTCACACAAACTATGCAGGGGTTTGGAATATTATATAAACTAGACTGATGGAAAAAGAAAAAAAAAAGGTTGCAGAGACACATGGCTTCACAGAGAAGAAACAGAGAAGAAACATACAACAGATGGCCTGAGTAGGGGAAAGGGAACAACAATGATATAAATGTGGCATAGGGAGAGAGAGAGAAGTGGAGAGAAGGGAATTGAAGTGGGGGAAAAAGAAAATAAAATGAAAAGGGAGAATGGAGATAAAAAACATAGCAACATTAGCAGAAACTCTTGAACTCTTCAATCATCCAAACAAGAATTGCAATAGTTATTTATGGGGATCACAAGTCTTAAAAAAATTCTACTTTCTTAAAGCAATACAATCTTGGAAAATATTTTCTTAAGAAAGCAAAAAAGTCTTGTACGAGCTTTCTAGACATGAGACCACAATTATTAGCCACCAATGAGGCCCACACCTCTTGGCCCAACTTCAGTAGTATTTTACTGGCCTGCCCTTGCAGTTATATGTCTGAAGGATTGGTCCATCATATATATCGTAAAGGGGCAATGGAGATTGGGTTCTATCCTTGTAGATCATTAATAAATTGTTTATGAGCATGCTTTAATGTTTCTGTGCATTTTTTTTTTTTTGGCTTTTTATGTACTTGTAATTTTAATAATTTCTTGTTAGACTAGATCTAAGGTTTCTCTGTGGTTTGGTATGTTGCCCAAGTCTTTGTGTTTATTGCATATGAAACCACTGTTTGGTTTCACTATTTATCAAATAAATACTAAGAAACTGAAATGCTTGGTTCTTTTATGCATGGGGCATTTGGGGAAACGTCAAATTTTTCGTTTTCCCTAATGCCCCAACATTTCTTGAAACGAAATGCTGATGAGGCATGCTTTTATGGGTGTTAATCTGAGGTGGAAAACAATAAACATTTAAAGTGATGCCCAACCAAACAAAAAAAGCAAGAAATGTTTAAAGTGAAAAACGTTTAAAGTAAGATAGTACAAATAAACGTTTAAAGTAATAAATGGCCTCTCTGTAAACTCCAGCGGAACCAAACATATACTTAATCAGCAAAGGAGAAGAGGTCTTTAGCTCAAGGATTATTTATTTATCCTTTTCTTTTTCAATATTTGGTGGTGGGGGAGGATGAGAGTGGGTAAAGTCTCTTCCAGGGTTGAGTATTTTTAGGCCACATATCAATTAAATAAAACCATATGTCATTTGCAATCGTTCTATCATGTTATATAGTATAAAAGTGCGAATGAGGTGGTGGGCTTTTGGAATTTTTCTTCACTAAACTACCCCTCCTCTTGAATTTGGTTCATCTCCATTGAGAGGGAAAAAAATGTAATTAAAATAATAAATTAAATACATTTGAGTACCTCTCATTAAGTTTTACATTTAAGTCATTAGATAAATCACATTCTCTCTTTGAATCCAAATTTATACTTTTATTTATCATCATTAATTTCTACTAATAAATTCATACACAATAATTATTAGGGTTAATTGCTTACATATACCCTGTACATTTAGGAAACTGCTTAAATGTACCTTAAACTTTCAAAACCTACTTATATGTACCTTATAATATGGCCCCAAATAACACAAATAAGCTATCTAATAAAAAAGCACCAAAACTGTTAGATATTCCATTAGTTTTTTATAATTCCATTTTTACCCTTATTCTTCCTTCTTCCCTTCTCCAAACTGAATGAATGGATGCAATGAAGATATGGAAATATAGAGGAAGAAAAAGTTAGATTGTCAAAGACAACCAGATTTGACAAGAATAAATCAAAGGATGTAGTCATAGATCTAGAACAAGATGAACTATGTTGAAAGTACTGTTCATTCGTCAAGGAAATGTTATTCGAAGATAAATAAGAAGAAAAGAGGCAACACTAAAGAAGGTATTTGAAAAGACAAAGGAACCAAATCTCTAATACATTTGATTATGCTCTGACCTAGAATGGCGATTATATGATCAAATCCCATTGCTTCACTCTTTTCTTAAACATCTCCCAGGAACTATGACTATTCTAACATCCGTACCAGTTAATAAATTCCTTTTGCCTCTAACAAAGACCTTCTCCATCCCAAACCCATTCTAACAAATAAAAATAATAAAGAACCAATTTTATTGGTTACTTCAAAGGTGGAATGCAGTGAGAGTTGAAGTTGTACCATTTTGTTCCCTCATAAAGACTTACAACCAGAATTTCTTGGGTGAGATCCTTGTTGATTTTGCTCAGTTGAAGTTTTTTTTCTACAACCTATACCTCTAATTATGGAGTCTCAAATGAATTAGAGCTTTTTCTAAAGATCAATAAAAGACATTGGTTGCCCCTTTTTCTAGGCTAACTCTGCTTTTAACATTATCATGTCAATTAGAAATTGCAGTGGTGATTGATTGGTTGTGCAACAAGTGGGAGAACCATCTATTCATTGTCAAAATCCCCATAAAGAGAAAAAGACTTCTATGGGTAATGTTCCTACTAAGATTCCACTTTTCTGTAATATTTCAGTCGTTCCAAGTTTCAAGTGGCATTGTACATCAAGACAATGAGGCGCTAAAGAAGCATAAAACAAAGGACAGATTGGGTTGGCTTATTGGTTCACTACAATGAAAACCCAAAAATAATCTATTTTCTTTTTATTTACTTAACTTAGTTCTAATAGTGGTGTGTGCGACATTGAAGAAGAAGAAGATAAAGGAGAGAGAAAGATGTAGAAGAAGAAAAGAAAAAAAAAAGAATGAAAATGGCATATTTTGAAAATTTAATGAATAGCTAGAGATATTTGTGTCTTTTTACATTTAATCTATTAAACTTAACCCTAGAAAAGTCAACAAGGTATATACAAGTTGTTTTTAAAAGTTCAGGGTATACATAAGTAGTTTCTCAATATATATATATATATATATATATACACCCTATATATAAGTAATTAACCCTAATTATTAACAGAATGAAATTTTATATTTTTAAAATAAACCTAGAAATGAAATCATATTTTCCATCCAAGTGGTGGGTAAGTAGTTCAACCATTTGGGTCAAATGGATGATTTCATGATGTCATAAATAAATAATACAAATTTAGAAATATAAAAATACAAAAAAACAAAAAAATAAAGAAATTTTGAAAATTTTGGACATGTTTCTACTATTATATATTTGTCATATTAAAAAAATAAGTATGATAAAATAGACATAATTTTATTAATGGTGGGCATAGAATATACAACTTAAACCTAATGAGAAATGGTTGAGAAAACAAATACAAATCTATATCTATATCTTTACTACTATTAAAAGTGTGAAACTTTTGTTTGACTAACATACCCCAATTTTTTAATTTGGTCCCTCTCTCATGAGGATAGAAATGTAATTTCAACAACCATTTACTTGCCATTCAAATCTCTCATTTAAGTCTTATATTTAAGGTATTAACTCCCATTAACATTCATTGATTCCTATTCTTGACTAGAATACCCCTATTTTTGTATTTGGTCCCTCTCTAATTGTGGGGGCACAAAATGTAATTTAAACTACTACATTTCTCCTCAATAAATTCCTTATATTTATGGTATTAACCCATTCTTTCATTGAATCTTATATTGATCGATCATATTAATATTAATATTAAAAAGTGTCACAAAGAATAATCATTTTTATAGACCAACCCAAAAATGGAGTTGTTTCATGTTTGGTGGCAAGTCAACAATTCAACCTTTTGGGTCAAATGTGTAAACCCTTGATGTCATAATTAAATAATAATAAAAATTAAAAAGATGAAAACACATAAAAGTATAAAAAATACAAAAAATTTATAGAAAGCATTTGGGCAAATATTATTTGCTATCATCATCATAAAAAATTATCACATGCAAAGCATGTGAACCCTTACTAGTATATAAATATATTTTTATACCAAAGGAGGTAAAAAAATAAAATAAGAAGTTCATGAGATACAACTAAACGAACAATAGTGTCTTAAGCTGTGGATAGTGTACCATAGTGCCTAATGTGATTGGGTACTTGTTCCATTTACTTATTCCTCTTGCTTTAGGGAAGAGCTTTACCATTTTACTATTTTGTCTTGCTTGCTCATGGTTGGTAAAGGCTAGCTAGGTTTTTATTTCCATCCTTGGGATCATGGGATGAGATACTGCTTTAGCTGATGTAATTATCCCCCAAGAGGAGTATAAAACAAAACTTATTTCTTCTATTTTTGAATATTAGCATTGCAATTGTTGAAGTAGTTTTACTTAATTATTTATCATATTTTAAACAAATATACGTGTATCAATTTTGCACGCTTATACGATCATGCAGACATGCTGAACCCTTTCAATTTGGTGTCCAAAACTGGTTGTGTTCAGGTTTCGTAAATCTGTCACATCCAAACTAAACAAGCTTAATTTCATGATTAAGAGTGATGGATATTTATTGATGAGGCCATGAGCACCAGGACATTCATAATTGTATTTACGTACTTTTGGTTTAACACTCACTTTTGGAGTAAGTTTGATTTACTTTTGCAACCTTGATTTAACATGAAATAGGATAGGCAAATGCTGGATGCCTCGATGTGCCTCTGCAATATATGCCTGCATACGTGATGCATTTTCTGTGCAAATAAATGCTACATGTATTTCATAATTCTTGTTTGATCATATAAACACCCTTTGTTTATGGATTATATCTTAATTTGGATTGTAGAAGGGTTGAATCAAACTCACCAGATTCATTGACCAATGACTCTGGCTTGGTTGTACCAAAATATGCTTCCAGCAAAAGTTCAAAGATGTGTATCCATTTATTAATATCAAACGTGCTTATGAGCCTAATTCTGATTTTATCTCTTTTTGTTCACTGCAGCAGCACAACATTTAGAAATAATGAGTGGGATTACAGATGGATGGATTACCCAGACCAGGCAAGAGGTTTGAAACATCCAAATGATCAATCGTTGGCTACATATAGTGGTCATTCAGTACTGCAAACTCTTATACGCTGTTACTTTTCCCCATCTTATAGGTAATCTACTAATAGTAGCTTCTATATCACCAAGGTCCATGGATTCCTAAGGCTATTTGTATTCTCCCTATCAAACCTTTCAGCCTAATCAGTAAAGATCAGGTTGGTTTGTGTAATTCACAATGACTAAAGTAACTTGGTTCAAACCAGATTTTGGGCAGGCTGAGTCAATCTTGTGCATTATGGTTTCTGCATCTCAATTTTCATCAAATTAGACTGTCTACACCAATTTCACTAACAAAATTGATTGCAGGCTTTCATATATGTGCTACTGATCTCTTTATTGCTTGTTGCAGCACTGGCCAAAAATACATCTACACTGGATCTAGTGACGGTTATGTTTATGTTTATGATTTGGTACTTCCATAATCTCTCTTTTGCTGAAATTTCAAGTTTCTTATATCCCGCAATTATTTAATAGTGAGCTATGAAGGATTACTACTCAAAGCTGTCCATGTCATCATAAGGAGCACAAAAACGGGTGTTGTCATTTGATGGGTTTCATACGGAGATCTGGTTAATAATTAATGTAAATACCCTAGTGAATAATATATTCTGAATGATCACAAGCGTCCAATGATGCTAATTGGGCAATAGTGATCATATTGTGGCATAGCTTCCTAAACTGTTTTAAAAGCAGATATCAAGTAGAGGATCTCCCTGTACCAACCTGTTAAATTGAGTTCATCTGCATGAATGTTTGTCGTGCATAGGGAATGGTAATTTTCAGGGATTCCGCATCAATCTGTTTCTAATATTGATCCTAATGAGCTCTGCAAATTTCTGCAGGTAAGTGGAGCCCAAGTTGCAAAGCTAGACTACCATGCATCAACTGTTAGAGACTGTAGTTGGCATCCTTCCTACCCAATGCTTGTCAGCTCTTCATGGGATGGGGTGATAGCCAGATGGGAATTCCCTAGTACCGGGAAAGCGTCACAGCCATTGGTTAAGACAAGAAAGTGGAGAGGTTTATATTGAGTTACATCCATTGGGTGTCTCAAGTATATTGTACAAGTGTTTTATATGTATATGGGCGTTTGGTGTTTCAATTTAGTTATTTCGTGGCCAGATGAAAGAGAAATATTTTAATCTTTCTTTTCATTCCAGTAATTTGGCTGCAGTCTGCAAGCTTACAGCCAACTTTGTAGAAATTAGAAACAACTAGATTCTTGCCGCTTCTTGTAAAAAGCTTCATGAGAACAAAAATTTCAAATATATTATGCGATACTGAGCCAAATTCTCGGACTCCATAATATTACTAATATGTGCTCATGTTGCCTAAAATGGAATGCCATCATTGTTTAATTCTATTGCCATTTTTTTTTAAGAAAACGGTGATGCAATGGTGTCACTGTTTTCTTTCCATTGTTGCTACTCAGGGTTTTTGAACCGTTGACCTGGATGGTTGGACTGTTCCCAGGCAACCGGTTCTGTTTCACCCTTAATCCGGGTGGTCAAACTGTCAACCCATTCAACCTGGACAACGGTTTGCGGCTGTTTTTTATTTTAATTATTCTTTTAATTTTTTTTTTAAGTTGGAATGGACCATCCATTTGAATCAGATAGTTGAACCGCTGACCCATAAATCACTCGCCAAAGGGGTTCTGGTTCCAGGTCGGTTTTTAAAACTGTGTTGCCACCTAACCATTTTCATCAGAAAACCATTGCTATGATATGAAAAAATGGAAAAACATGCTTTGACATTTTTCCAAACAATGCCTTCCCAATTTTCTAAGCATATCATTTTTTTCAGTGTGTTTCAGAAAAAAAAATGTCCAACTAAGCAAAATGCGTCGCTTCAAACATGAAATGCCCATGTGGTGATGATGTGCCGAGTTCGGCTTCTGTCAAGGAAACTCGATGCGAGCACCGTTCCAGCAGCCCCTTGCAACCTTGCATTGGGAATCTTTTATGATATAAATCACATAAGTATGGAGATATTCCCAACGTAAGGTTATAAAGGTTGTTGAAATGGGTTTTGCCCTGACGGAAGCCAGACTGATGTGCCACCGTTTTTTCAGAAAACGACATTGGTTCCAAACACTGCCTAAAATGGTGTCCCATTTCTAATTTCAGACTAAAAGATATTTATTTGTTTATGTGAACAATTTCATTAAAAAATACAGAAAATTACAGATACAGATGCCACTCCTGCAAAACCCTTAACTTATTCCTGGAGGTGATCCCTAAGATATGAAAGACCGTTGGCATCGTATGGCCCTGATAGTGGTTTCATGGTTTGCCTAATGCCTTCTGATATACTTGCTAAAAAGTAGAGGTGTAAATCGGGTTGTACCACCCGTAGCCTAGCATGATGGCACGTGGGCCTTGCTAGGCATGACATGATTATGCGGGCTGTGCTGGGCTGGGGGTTTCAGGTCCATGGGCCAGCACTGTGCATGCCATCCATGGCACAACATGGCACAGCACAGGTCCGCAAGGGCTCGGGCCATGGGCCATGCCAGGCCGATCCCTCAAAATATCCAAAGGGAAGGAGGCACATCACGGGACGGCCCACACGACCTGTTTTACAGGTCTAGTAAAAAGTGAACCAAATCATGAAAAACGAAATAGTGAGAGGAAATAAAGACTGCTTTTGAATCAAAAACTGGTTGAAACTGTTCTGACATCTGCTACATTAGGAAGCATTTAGTCCCCATTCTGTACACTCTTCCATCCCTACTCATGGACTCTGATCGATGATGTTGAAATACTCAATTATTATTAGTTTCTTAAACAATGTTTAAATAATTAACTATTTACAATAAAATATGAAATCTCTATTGAAGAAGCAGTAAGAACCATGCATATGATATCAACTAAAGATGATGCATTACCTGCAGCAGCTTGAAAAAGATAAAAAAGCAGGCACTCTTCTTAGTTGGAAGAGTCGGAACTTGATTCCTGATTGTTAGACATCAAATAGAAACCAACTAGCTCTGCAAAAATTAGATCCTAGGAAGTTGCTACAAAAACCTTGCAAGAAAGAATATATCCATCAGCTAGTGTCTTCTCGCAGCATATGCCATAGATAATGCAGCCAAAATTGTCGTTGCAGAGGATACCCAATTCCTGAAGCTCCTCTTTCACAGTGTTCTGCGGGAGCTCCAGCTGCCAGGTCATGTTCTCCACTTTCCCTTCCGTTTCTGAAGTCCCTCTTGATGGCTTCCAGCTCTTGACACCAGAATCTCCCTTTCCATCTATCTCTTCGCCTTCAGAACCACACACCATCCTTGCAGTATTCTTTAACATGGATAAGGTTCACTCAGAAAACACTTCTGCAGATTTCAGCTTTTCTTGCAATTCCTCCAGTCATTGTTGAGCTTCCGCCACTGTCCTCCCCATCAAAGTCTTTTCCTCCATCAGTGATTCAATGCAGACTTCTCTTTCTTTTCTTCAACTAGGCCATCACGTTCCATTTCCATATATACACGTTTGAGCTCTTCCTGCGGCCCCTGTGTTCTTCTCCAGTTCCAGAATTTTAACCCTCAAGTTTGATGCCCCCTTGATAATAACATTTTCCAACCTGAACTCCAAATTGTATCTGTTCTTGCTTTTGCATAGCATCGGCCTTCTTCTTCCCTAACTCAGAAACTTCCGGTTGCAGTCTGCCTTCCTGCCTTTTCAGACTGGATATTGTAGCACCAGTTGATCACTTCTTTCTGCAATTCGGTATCTTAGTCGCCTGCTTAGCGTTTTCTCGCTCCATCCGTTGCTTGTCTGCAGCAAGTTCTCTGATTTCTCTCCTCAAATCTTCAATTAATTGTGATGACTCCAATAGCCTTCTCTGCAAAGAATCCCTATCGCTTAGCAGCGAATCAAAGTTTCGTTCTCTCTCCATGTTTTGTTCCAATAGTCCGTGGCGCTCCGTCCGTAATTTCTGAAGCTCACCTTGAGTCTCTGAATTGCTCTCTCCAGCTCAACAAGCTTTCCTCTCAACTGTTCTACCAACCTTATCTGCCTATCTGGATATCAAGATCCTTCCGGACCGTATCTTTGTAATGAAAAAAGTGATCGGAAGCTTCTCTCTCTATCTCTCTGGGCGAAGATTTCCACCGATTGCTTCTGAGGACTCAATCTGGCGGTCTCCATCATTAATCAATCCTCGCCTGTTCAATCCGATCCTTCTCTCTAACAACATCGGCTATCTCTCTCTTCAGATCCTCAAGTCTTCTTCTGCTCTTCTCTTCCAATACTCCATGGCGCTCTATTTGTATATTTCCAATCTCATGGTGAGCCTCTGCATTGTTCTTCTCCATCTCTACCACAAACAATTTAAAATGCTGGGAACTGGGAAGGAAGGAGCTCAACGTTCGAGGAATTCTCGAGACAACGTGGAGCCCAACTGTTCGTCTGCATTTTTCCCACGTGGCCACGTGGGGTCTTCTAATCGGACGAACCAGGTCCAGGCTACCTAACAGTCAACCGGACCGTGGTAGAGATAAATGGTCTTGATTTATGGGTTTGGCCGTTTGGGTCCCATTTAGACGTGGCAATCGGATCGGGTCAGCTTTTGAGCGGGGCCGACAAAGGCAAAGGCTAAAACCCTAATCCTAAATACTCAGGTTAGCAACAGGTCAGAAGGGTTAATGGTTGAACCGCTCTCATTAATCGGTCTTTAATCAAGTCAATAAATTTTAACCAAAAATACAGATCAGGTAATTTCGCCTTCTAGCTTTGGCCACTAGATAGATAAGGAACCCTAACCCGTTTATCAAATTGGGTCTGGTCGGGTTCGTGGATTGGATAATCTTTTTGGCACATTGGGATGGGCTTGGGCTTGGGCTTGAAGAAAGATCTAGCATGTGTGAAAAATGAGCATCAGCCATCGAACCGACCGGAGCATTACGTTCTGAATCTCTGATGTATGCCATCCAAATATTTTGAGGGAACGACTCTGTTTCAGTGGCATCGTATCATGATCAGATTTTGGGTGGGCCAGGTGGCAAGTTTTGTGATTGTCCAGTGTCGGGACCCGGGATAAAGTTTAGTTTCCCCAAGTCCCAAGTAAAAGGAATAAATGGGAGTAATAAGTGATTAATTATTTAAGCAAGAAAAGACGAACAAGAGATATGACAACACATATATATTTGGAGCTTTCGCTAGGAATAGGATGCACACACTAGTTTCGGAAAATTTGAATATACTAATTGCAAGTGGAGGCTGGCGCGTCCAATCCATTGGGCTTGGGGCCCATAAAAACGGGTCAAGGAGCCAGGGAATTCAGTGGATCGGGTTTAGTACGGATTTCATTAGATTCAAATGGAACCCGACACAAGTGAAGTTGATATTACCTCTATTGCAAGTGACTAGTGAGGGCTATATTCACGAGATACTTGTTTTGGTTTTATTGACGTTAGGGGTGGATTCGAGCCGAGTCAAGCCGAATAGTATGAGGCTTGAATTTGGCTCGCGAAGGTAGTACAAGGTTTGAGTTCAAGCTTGGCTTGAATTAGAACCTTGAGCTCAGCTCGTGGCCACCCCTAATCACGTGTAGGTGTAGATTATAAATATTAATTTAGAATATTTTAATAGTTGATATTACCTCACACGAGGGCCCATTGAGCTTGAAGTGTGAACAAACACAGGTCCATTCATACTTAATTAATTATATAATAGGGGTAATGAGGATCGAACATTAGACCACTTGATCAAAGTGGCTCTGATACCATCTCAGAACCATTCAACCTAAAAGTTTAAACTGTTAGGTGAGGTCTTTGAATTTGATATTCTCTCACAAACACAAAGATGGTAATTTTAGACCCAACCCACTCATAATTCCTTCAAATTATTATTGAATGGGTTGAATAACCCGTTGGGTCAAATTAGATGAATTGGATTGGGTTACATACATACATTGTACGCTGCATTAGGTTAATCGTAAATGAATGATACAATTATCTATATCTATATCCATTAAGAATGATTTCTTACGGATTTTGGGCTTTTTTGATTAAAATACCCTTCGTTTTTAAATTGGTCCATCTCTATTGAGACGGAAGAAATTATAATTTGAATATTACCATTCAGTCTATTCTATTACTTCTCTCTAAGCCCCTTGTGTAGCATTGACTCTCATTCTCTTTCATTAAATCACAAATGTTGTTGGTTTCACCACTTACCCACTATCTGGACGGATAAAAATAGTGCACAAGCTTAGCAGATACTTGGTAAGATGTGAGCCCAGCTTAAACTTCTCATATCAATCCCGTCACACTGAACCTAGACTCTCTTAAGAAAGAAGAATGTCTAGTAAGGTAGAGCCTTTACACCTCAGCCCTGT